AACGGTACACAGTATTCCAAACGAGGCCGCACCATAGATCTGTACAGAGGCATGTGTTATTAATTAAAGAACCAAGCAGGATTCCTTAGGGAAGGGGCTGTGGCTCAGTGGTAGACCATCTGTCTGGCCTGCAGAAGGTCCCAGGTTCCATCCCCCGGCATCTCCAGTTAAAAGGATCAAGTGGCAGGTGATGTAAAAGGCCTCAGCCTGAGACCCTGGAGAGCCACTGCCAGTTTGAGTAGACAATACCGACCTTGACGGACCACGAGTCTGATTCAGGAGAAGGCAGCTTCGTGTGATACATGCAGGGCTATTTTTGGGCAGGAACGCACAGGAACGGAGTTCCGGCTGGCTGAGTTGGCCACGCCCAGCAGGAACTCATTAGCATAATAGGCCACACCCAACAGCAGGAACTCATTAGGATTGGCTACATTAGGGGTGTCTGGCCTAACATGCAAAGGAGTCCCTGCTACAAAAAAAGGCCCTGGGTTTTGACAACAAACAAGGTAAACAGAATAAGAAGCAAAAGGTGTGTGTGGCTGGATGACCACACTTCTGGTAACATGGGGGTGCGGCCTAATGTGCTAATGAGCTGTGCTGTCAGGGGTGTGGCCCAATAGGCTAATGAGTTTCTGCTGCTGGGTGTGGTCTATTATGCTAATGAGTCCCTGCTGGGCTTTTTCTACCAAAAAGAGCCCTGGATGTGTCAGCCATGGTCAATACTTGGTTGGGAGACCACCAAGGAAGGCTGGGGTTGCTGTGCAGGGGAAGGCAGTGTCTCTTGCTCGGAGCGCACTGTGGATGGGATCGCCACAAGTCTGTTGCAGCTTGACAGCACGTTCCTCTTCCCTTGTTTATCCATAACCTTTTTCTCCCGCTCATTTATAAGACGTTGGAAGCGATGCGTAACAAATACGATAGTGAAAAACAGCTCATAACAGTGCAAGACCATGAGATGCTAAATCAAGTAGAAATGACACATCCATCAGCCTTTGCATGTTTCCATACAACTCCTGTGTGATTGTAAACTGGACTGCTGGTGCTCTTCTGGGCGCAGAACTGTGCACATTCCTGGCTAGATGGGATTGTGGGATTGCGCATACAAATGAGCACCATGTGGGCAATTCCTGATCCAGCTGAGTCAGATAAGCAGCAGTTGTACCAATCATCTATTTCAGAGGGGGAAGTCAGGGTTGGATTTAACCCCTTTCCTGCCGAACATCTGTTCAGATGCTATCGCAGATTATTTAACCAGGGCTGTGTCTGCAAATGCAGTTGGATTGGAGCCA